AGACTTTGTACATTGTATTTTGTTGACACTTTGGGCCCCAGTTTTCGGGTCTTGATCTATGTACAAGTTGGGATCCAGCCCAATTCCTGCCCTTCCGGGGCGTTGTTTGTTAAAAAAATCAGGCCACCAGGGCTCGTGGCAGATTCAGCACCCGCTTATGCGTATTAGAGCGCTACTCCGGTCTGTCCATCACATGATCACGCACATTTTTCGTGAGAGGAACAGACCTGCGGACTACCTCGCCAGCCTTGGCGCCACCACACCAGACCCCCATACGTTTCAGATCGACACTGTTCCACTCCGACTTCGCACGCTTGTGCGGATGGACCAGCTTGGATATCCATCTTTCCACTTTCAGTAGATTAGGCTTTTTGTTTTCTTTAGATTAGACTTTTGCTTACGGGCACCTGTTAGCCCGATGACAGACTTTGTTTTATTTTTCTTTTTTAGTTTTTCTTTTGTTGTTTTTGTTTTGCTTGTCAGACTTTATAGACTGTAGTGTGTTGATATTTCGGACCCCAGTTTTGGGGTCTTGATCTATGCACAGGTTTGGGAAACTTAGCAAAAAAAGACAACTAACCTAGCAGCAAGAAAGAAATAACCTAGCAACAAAAGACAACTAACCTAGCAGCAAGAAAGAAATAACCTAACAACAAAAGACAACTAACCTAGCAACAAAAGACAACTAACCTAGCAGCAAGAAAGAACTAACCTAGCAACAAGAAAAAAATAACCTAGCAACTTAAGACAACTAACCTAGCAACAAAACTCAACTAACCTAACAGCTACAAATAACTAACCTAGCAACAACAAACAACTAACTTAGCAACAAAACACAACTAACCTAGCAAGAAAGAAATAATATAACAACAAAAGACAAATGGTCAACGGTCAACGCCGGAAGTCAACGGTCAATGGTCATAATAATATTTAAATAATTAAAAATAAAGAATTAAATAATAAAAATAAAAAATTATTATTTAAATCAAGATCTAAATCTTGTGGCTAGGAATGAGTCTCACGTCCTCACTTTAAATAAACAGATGCATTTGAACCAATCCCTATATATAGTGTAAAATGTCATTCTTTTAGAAACTGTTCAAAATTGTGAAAAAAAAAAATGTTTATGTTGTATTTTACGACCATGATATTAGATAAAATTATGAGATTAAAAATAAAGAAAATTTCTACTTGTACAACCTTGGTTTTTTGACTGGGCCACAAAATACTCACATTACATTTGACTTGGGTCATTGGATAGGCCAGAAACTCATACTACCAGGGCTTAGGCCCTTGTTGGGCCATATTCAACTATATTATAATCTGTGAGGATTTTATTTTCTTATTCTTGTTGTTTTTGGGATTTTTTTTTTAGAAAATTACTCGATTACTTACGAATTCCTTTTTATCAATATAATTACTACGTAGTTTTCTTTTTAATTGCTAAAGTACTAATTTTTATTATTTTTAATGGTTGCTTTGTAGTTTAATTTTGTTAAATGAATTTTAACTGTATTGTGTTTTGGTTTATCACGCTTTTAAGAATAGTTTATATATAATTTTATTTTGGATGTCATCTTTTGTAAAAGTTTTTAAAAAATATAGTAAATATGTAAAATACCGTCTTTTTTTCTTTGAAAAAATTGGGTTCATTCATGTATTAATTTTTTTAGATAGAATAAGGGTCCCGTATTCTCCAACCACATAATCAATGTCGTACTGTGTTTGGCTACCAAGTTTTAATTGCGATTTCAGTTGTCTTAAACACACACGCAACACAACTTTTTGTGTATAGTAGTAACAAACTTAGTCAACTGTTGATTGTCTACCATGAATTCCGGATAGCTGTCCATGTTCTTATTTTCAGATCAATTAATAACATGTTGATTTTCATACACATTTTTTTACTATTCAATTTCGTGGGGTTTCGACCAATTAAAACAGTTTACTTGAATAAATATTTAGATTTTACTTTAACTTTTGTACACTTTTTTAAATTGGTTGAATTTTGTTAGAAAGATTTATTTGCAATTATGATATTTAGTAATGTGTAATTCTATTAGAAAAACAAAGATATCATTAAGCGAGTGTACCATAAGTATTCATGGGTATATATTGTGGCAACGTTTTATTAAGCTTAGAGACAAACATATAAACCTGGATTGTGCGCAGGGGTTAATAAACTTATTGGTTTTGGGCGTGGAGACCTTCTCATCACTTACCTCGATGCCTTTCTGTATAAAAATAATTTCATGAGAGCATTCTTTGTATATGTCAGAGAGGGTCCAATAGGTGATTTTTGGATGGTCCCACATGCACATCTCATTTGGGGCTTGTCTTGTGCTGATCTAGAGCACATTTAGTGTCTTGTCGATTCATCTTCTTATGGTGTTGAACCTCTCTAGGTCCACTCTGGACGATCTTGACCAGATCATGGCTTGTTATTATTGAGGCAATGAGGACGGCTCTGGAAAGGGCATGTAGTACTACTGTCAGGTGACGGCTACGACTCATGACAACACAGTGAAGCATATTCACCAGAATAGGTAGGCACTCTCAGGAATACATCTTCTATGCTTTGGAAGAAGTTGACATGAGTTTCTGGGCTGATTAGTGGTGCGGTGTCATGATTTTTTCTAGTTTGTGGTTGCGTGTGCCTTTCCTCTCATTGAGGGTGCATGACCTTTGGACGAGGGGGGTGGGATGGGGCTAAGCTAGATATGGAATTGGGTTCTGGCGCGAGTTCTAATGAGCATATGGTAGAGCGGATCCAACATATACCTATGTATGAGGACAATTCAGATAGTATGAGGTGAAGACTTACACCCTCGAGTTTTTTTTCTATGACTTCGGCATGGGAAGACATCATGTGAGAGAACACTCTAATCTCCACTTCGGAGCCATCTGTATTGACCTCCCCCCTCAACCATATTTGTCTTTCTCTGGCGCCTTCTCTTGCGTGAGATACCCTTTGATACAGTCCTCCATACTAGGGGCACTTATTTTTCCTCGCAGTGTGTGTGATGTTCAGAGACTAACCACTTCCAAACCGAAATATTTATCTATTTATTTCTGGAGAGTGATGTAGCTAGGAATAAGTGTGGGAACACTTTTACAACTAAACGCATTTATCCCCACGTGCGACAGAAAAATTCTTTGTGCTTATGAGTTCTTTCTCACATTGCACAACTATAGACATGTGGGCTTCTTCATTCATTTGCCGGTTAGGTGAATAATTTGAAAAAGGAGAAATAGTGTGAAGTATAGGGATGTTACACTTTTGTGCCCTCATATTATTTGCAGGTAGAGCGACACATTTCCCTCCTCACGACCTTAGGCACACTTACATCCTAAGATTGGACAGGTTGTACGCCGCCACACAGATTCATGCCGTCCACCTCGATCGTTGCCTCTCCAACCTCCCTGACCTAGAGTTGTTGTTTGATTGAGATCCGACTCTCCTTGGGTCAAGCTGAACATTGACGGTTCGTTTGAACTAAACACCAGAGCTGCTGGATGTCAATTTGTAGTTAATGTACATAAGTCATAGGATGTATAAAAATTAATTATGTATTTCATGCATAAATTTGTTAATAAATAAATATTAATGAAATCTTAAATATAGACGAAAAAATTTCCCTCCCGAAATCATGTCAAATATAACAATAAGGATTGACCCATTATATAAATATAGTTATAGATATAGATATATTACACTTTCTAAAAACGCATTCCTACATTTTTAATCTCTACTTTCGAATAAAATATTTGTGTACAAAAAATCATCCCGATGGCTACCTAACTGTCATTCTCTTCACATTTCATTTATTTTATTATTGATATGAAACAAAGATAAAAGAGTCAATAAATAAATATCAAGGTCAAGATTCCTAGAATCTTATGGATCGATCGTGCAAAGACCCATTAANTGGTACAATGAAGGAGGCAAACGCCTTAGACTACAATATTACGGGGATGAGCGATCCCTAGAACATCATGTTCAAGCCACGGTTTCACCCCCGTGGGAGGGTCGTCAAGAATGTGAAGGCCGCCGGGCATGCTCGATGCCATAGAAGCAAGGTAATCCGCAGCAAAGTTCACTTCGCGATGAATGTGGCAAATCTCAGCTCTCCACTCTCTAGCCAACAGGTCCTTTATTCCCCGAACGATGCTGCTATGGATGCCCGTGTGATCGCCATCTTGTAGCACCATGTCTACAACATTCTTATTGTCAACTTCCGCTATCACCATGCGGTGCCCCTTTTGCCAAGCCAAAGTCAAACCTTGAAACAATCCCCATAACTCCGCGCCCACGATCGAACAAAAACCAATATTCACTTGACTTAAGTTTTTATTGACTGAAATAAATATATAACATGTAAATCAAAGTTGTACACTGTGTGTGGATACCAATTTATTCCCATTTCCCATTCCCCTAATAGGCACTGTAAAATTATTCAAAAAACTTCATTAAAACTTAATTCTCGTAACTAAAACATAGGGAGATTCTATAGTCTCGTTACGGAATCATTCCGTCGGTACATGCAATGAGACAGTAACCTTGACCACGATGAGGAAAGAAAAATAAAAAATTAATATTTCTGGTGATACCATGTTGAAGATAATGGAAGTCATTGATATGAAAAGACCGATAATCGTGTATTATGATCATGAATGTTGAAGGTATGTTTGTTTTATGCAAAGGAGAGAGAGAGGGTTAATACCCTTAGCTCAACTGACCACATTTATGAGCTAACAATATTATCCCGACTTATTAATCTAACAGCCTAACTAATCTAACTGTACTAATTTATTTGTTGCCTAATACAAACGCATGAAACAAGAGCACAATTTAATAAAAAAGCCAACCCAAACAGCCTTGATGATATAATTTTTGTACTCGTCATTTTAGGTGGTCCCCAAACATTTTCCACGAAATTTCACAAACTTAAATTAAAATGCCATCGTCAAATCTCTCTATGAAAATTGAATTAGTCACCCCTTAAGAAATAAGAACGTATATATATTTAAAACCAGGCCTGACTTGTTTACTAAGATTCATATCTCCCAAAATAAACATTATTTCTGGTCCAAAATCTAAATTGTCTTCATATGTAGCCAAGTAACCAAACCGATCTTCTCGACCGGTTGAATTTTTCTAACACGCTAACAAATATCTTCTTACATGTTAACAAGTAAGCAGCGACCATTTTATTTATAAAAATCTCTTATCCCACGGACCAAACAACAACCTTTTATGCATCACATCAAATCCTTACAAAATGGCCCTTTGCTCCCATTTTCTTGCACTTTTTGCTCTCATCTTCTTTTCCGTCAAAATTTCTTGTTCTTCGGCTAGTGGTAATGGAACTTCCGGTCAAGAGCCGCCATCTTTGGTGGTTCCAGTTGGCGTTGTCCTTGACTTGAGCTCGTCCTTGGGTTCCATGGCAGCTTCGTGCATGAAAATGGCCGTCTCGGATTTTTACTCGACACGTTCAGACTATAGGACGAGGCTCAAGCTTCACATTAAGAGTGTGGATAGTGTGGTTGATGCTAATTTTGCAGGTTGATGTTCGAATTTATTTTGATCTTTTTTTTTTTTTGGAGTATATAGGGAGTATGACTTTTTGTTTAATGATTTTGTTTTAAAAACACAACAAACGCGGTTCAGAGGCGTATAAAGTCAAAAGTCAGACTGAGATATACTTAAATTTGTCAATATTCACGCTTCCAATAACATTTGATGTCGGTAATTATTATTATTTTTTTTTTCTAACACATACATGTCCAACTAATTATATTATTTACAATTAAATAGTAGTTCTCATTCTCATAACTATTTCGTTGCTTTGAAAATGAAAATACTCATTATCATAATTCGTTGTCAACCTAAAAGTTTAGCTCAACTTTTAGGCTTTACCTCCAGTAATTAAACAAGTTGACTTCCGAATTCCAATCTCCATAATAGTTCTTCAATATTAAGTATAGAATTAGTAAGTTATTGCTTGGAAGATGGAAATGATTTGTGGTTAAAAGATACATGTCCGTAAATTGTAAATTTTGTGAAAAAACAGTTGAATGGATTCTTTCTTGATCGCGTACTCTCTGTTTGTGAAAATGCCTGTATGAACCTCATCCAACCTGTTGTTTACCTATTTTTTTTCTTTTTTGGTTCAGCTGTGGAGCTATTGAAGAAAGAACAAGTAGACGGGATCATAGGTCCACAAGAATCAACACAAGAAACATTCTTCGCAGAGCTCGCCCAAAAAACCCGCGTCCCCACAATATCCTTCACTTCAACTATCTCCACTTTACCCTACAACAATTACTTCTTCCGTACAACACCGGACGACGCCGTGCAAGCCCAAGCCCTTGCCGCCATTATCCGCGGCTTCGAATGGCCCGAAATCGCCGTTTTATACGAAGACACCCAAAGCACCGATCGCTTTCTCTCCCATCTCAACCGAGCCCTCCAAGAGTCCGAAATCCGGCAGGCTTACTCTGTCCCGATCGCCACCTCAGCCGACAGCAGCCGTATTCTCAGAGAGCTCAACAGGTTCGGGACGAGGCAGACTCGGGTGTTCTTGGTCCACATGGGCCCGTCCCTCGGCCACCGGTTCTTCGACCTCGCCAAACGGGCCGGGCTCATGAGCCCGGGCTACGCGTGGCTCGTCACCTACAGTTTATCCGTCTTCTTGGGCTCCGCGGGCCCCGCGGCCCGCGACTCTATGGAAGGGGTCCTCGGCGTGCGGCCCCATGTCCCGCGCTCGGAGGCCCTCCAAAACTTCCGAGAGAGGTGGAGACTACGGGACGCGACCGCGGAGGAACTCAACGTGTACGGTCTTTGGGCGTACGACGCCGTGACCGCGCTCGCGACGGCGGCCGAGAGGGCCGTTTCGGTAAATTCCTCGCTCTCGAATTCTTCCGGATTCGGCTCGCGAATTCTCGAACAGCTGTCGAGTGTAGAGTTCCGAGGATTGAGCGGAGAGTTTAGATTAGTCGACGGGAAGTTGAGTCCTTCGCCGGTCGAGATATTTAACGTGATCGGGTCTGGGGAGAAAACGGTCGGGTATTGGACGCAAAGCGGAGGATTAGTACGGGAGTTGGTGAGCCCGTCGGGCGGGAAAACTAGTGGTTACTCGACTTCGGCGAAGGGACTAAAAAACATCATGTGGCCGGGAGATTCGGTCACGCGTCCCAAGGGTTGGGCTATCCCGAAGCTCAGGGTCGGAGTTCCTTGTAAGCTTGGATTCACGGAGTTCGTCAATGTGGCAGTTGACCGCAAAACGAATCGTACAAACGCGACTGGATTTTCGGTCGACATTTTCCTTGCCACGTTGGATTTGCTCCCGTTTCCGGTCGATTACGAGTTTTCTTACTATAATGACACGGAGCACGTGAATTGGAGTTATGACGACATGCTGCACAAGATACCTCAGGTGAATCAATCTTTTCATTAGCTATAGTGAAATGAGTAAAAAAATTCAACTGTTAGCTCTCTTTTTATTCAGATTGCAATTTTTTTTTTTTTTTCCTTTTTTTCTCTTTGTTTGAAATAGGAATTTGATATGGTAGTTGGGGATACAACGATTTGGGCTCCGAGAGCAATAGGTGTTGATTTTTCGCTCCCGTATTCTGAATCAGGAGTCATCCTAGTCGTTAAAAATCGAAAGCCGTTTGACATGTGGATCTTCGTAAGGCCCCTGAGGTGGGACCTTTGGCTGGCGATTATTTCAGCTTGTATTTTAATGGGAATCGTACTCCGCATATTGGAACACCGTGTGGCTAGGGAGGACTCGGATTCCTTAAGAACACACAAGAATCGACTCGGGATGATACATTTGTCTCCGGTGGCAGTTCTTGCTTTTCCTGAAAGTAAATACTCAAAACAACAAGTTCCTCGTCTTTTTTTTATGAATTAACATTTTGTATTCATTTTTTTTCTCTCTTTCTTGTTTTTTTCGGACAGGGAATATGGTTTCGAACAACTGGTCCTTTCTCGTGTTGGTGTGCTGGCTTTTCACAGCGTTCATACTGATGCAGAGCTACACTGCCAACTTATCTGCTATTTTAACGGTCGACCAATTGAAGTTTGCATTTTCGGACAATTATTACATAGGTTATCAGGAAGGTTCGTTCATGAAGCGTTTTTTGACTCAGCAGCTGCATATTAGCGAGTCGAGGCTCAGGAGTTATGGGTCGGCCGAGGAATACCATAAAGCTATGTCCTTGGGAAGCAAAAAAGGGGGCATAGACGCCGTATTTGACGAGATTCCTTACATGAAGATTTTGATCAACAAATACGATTCTCTGTACAAGATGGTCGGGCCAACCTACGTAACCGGTGGATTCGGCTTTGTAAGTTTGTAATAACAGTGAATTCGAGTTAATGTGTAAGATAACATGATATTTTAATCAAGCTATATATAATATAATGTGCTATTGACTTATCTCAGGCCTTTCCTCTGGGCTCCCCTTTAGCCGCACATTTTTCGAAAGCAATCCTCGACGTTACTCAAGGGCCCAACATGACTGCCATTGAACAGAAAAATTTCGGGCCCGGTTACTCTTCGCAGGACCCGCTTTCCCCGACTATCTCACAAGAGACATCCAGCCTGTCGCTCTATGATTTTGCGGGCCTCTTCATAATCGTGGGATCAGTAACTTTACTTGCTCTGTTTTGTTCCGAGACAGCAATAGGAAGGAAATTGACACGACAAACAGAGCGTTTTATCCACCGTTGCTTCTTCTTCAAGGCTCCGAGAGTTGAATCGATGGAGGATTCAAGTGTAGATGGGAATTCAGCACATGGTGTTGTTGATGGCAGTGAACGAGCTCCGGATAATGTTAATGAACAGTTTTATGAGGAAGGCTTAGATACACGTGTTAGTGAGGAAATTCAAGAAACAATGTCGACTGGCGAAACTCTTGAAGCTCGGGATTTAGTGACAAGAGTCGAGAGTAATGGGGAGAGGACAATGTAAGAAATTGATCTTTGGACAAAAATGTGGTTCACAAAATCCAGTTCTTACAAGTTTTTCCAAATTTCATTTTCTAATTTTCGATCATTTTACATAGTTTACTTTCGAAAATTTGACATCACAAATCCTACAGTTTACTTTCGATTCAATTGTTGAAATCTTTCCTGTGAAAAGAAAAAGGCAGAAGTCTGATTTAATCCAAATTGTCCAAGATAACGTACAAAGAAGAATATGTTTCCTTACATATGTACTAAGAA